AACGCCAGCACGCGCTGTGCATCACCATCAACGGACCCACTCCTCTCTTGCTGCTGCTGCTGCTGCTGCTGCTGTTGGGCGGGCGTGGGTGAAGTGGCGTCCTTGTCCGAACCAAACACGGACGTGGAGGAAAACCCGCGCATGTGCTGGAACATGGAGCGCGGATCGCCGTCGTCATCACAACCATCGTTATCATCGGCGTCAGCAATGTCGTTGTTGCCGTTGTTACTGTTGCCGCGGCTGTTGTTGTTGTTGTTGTTGCTGTCACCGCCTTCGCAGCTCTGTGTGTCGAGGTTCGTACCATCACCACCTGCACACTCGTGAAAGGAGATGAGAGGCAGCACGGGCAAGCTGTCAGCGTGTCGGCGCCCCTGCTTCCGTTTCCTCTGCTGCGTCAACTCATACCGCTCCTGATGACAATCATCACCATCACCACCATCACCACCACCATCACCATCACCGTCACCTCTGCCGTGGGTCTCTGGAATGGGCGCCAGCACGGCCTGCATGGATGCGCGGCGGGTGCGCTGGTGCACAGGCCCAACCGCACACTCCATCCCAAACCCAAGCAGCGCTGTTGCTGAAGCTGCGGGCGGGGGAGAAGCGAGCGCGTTGCGGCCGGTGGTGGTCTCCATATTGGGCGTGGTGGTGCCGCCGGTGCTGCGCGCGTGTGTGTCATTGTCGTCGTCGCACCCGTCCGACTGAGGGGACGTGGCCTCCGTATGTGGGGCGGGCGGCAGGGGGAAATCTTGACGTGCAAGGGGCGGTTGGTACTGCTGCTGGTGTTGGTGGTGGGGTTGATGCAGCGCGGGTTGTGGTGATTGCTCACGGTGGAAGAAGACGTTGGTGCTGCTCGTGCTGCAGCTGTCGTGTCGGCTGTCGTGGCGACTGCCTGCATGCAACGACGTGACAGAGGGGCGTTTCCGGCGCATGGTTCCGTCCACTTCGATGGGCGATTGCGGATCAAACAGCTCCTCCTCCACCACTGCCGACAAATCGACCGGTAGGGACGTGCGGCGCTTTGGTTTTGGCCGACGCGGCGACACCAGCGGAGACACTTGTTGTTGTTGCTGCTGCTGCTGCTGCTGCCGCTGTTGTTGTTGTTGTTGTTGTTGTTGTTGTTGTTGTTGTTGTTGTTGTTGTTGTTGTTGTTGTTGTCTTCTGCTGGTGGGAGCACGGGCGTCGTCATCAAAGTCCGGGAACTTGGGAATAAACATCCGGTCCGAGGGAAGACTGCCCATGCGCGGGCGGCGGCGACGCATCAAGGACGACGACGAAGACGTGGTGATGGACGACACCGGCGGAGGGGACGCTCGACTCGGGGTCGCGGCGCCCATGGTGCTGTTGCTACCGTAGCCGTTGTTGCTACCGTAACCGCTGTTGTTGCCGCTGTTGGCCTGTGTGTTGGTGTGGGTTGGTGCTTGCGTCATGTCACGCGCGTGGGTTGTGTCGGCCTGGCCATTGCAATTTCCTGCTGCAACACCGTCACTGCCGCTCCCAGCGTGACTGTGACCCTTCTTGATGCTCCGGCCAAGGTAGATCATGGCGCTCAACGAGTGGCCTTTGCTGGACGACGGTGGCGGTGACGGTGGCGATGCACGTGCGTTGGAGCTCCAACCGCCACTGGTGTCGCCGCTGAGGGCGGTGTCACGTGCGTCTTCGCTGTCTCCGATGCGGAGCGGCCGCGCACGCTGGAAACAGTCGTGCTGCTGGTACTGCTGCGACGCTTGGTGTTGCGATGCTTGTTGTTGGAATGCTTGGTGTTGCGATGGTTGGTGGTACGGACTACGCCCTTGCTGCTGCTGGTGCTGGTGCAGCTGCAGCCGTTGGTGCTCGTACAGCTGCTCATACTGCTGGTCGCCGTTCTGCTCCTCTTCTTCCGCCGCTTGCTGACCATACACGTGGCGCTGGTGCTGCTGATGATCGTACTGGTTGTGGAACGTGAACACGCCACTGCCACCTGCACGGCCCTCCACGTCACCGCCATGGCCACCGGGTGTGATGGTGGTGGACGACGACGACCGCCGAATGTCGCCGTTCCTCAGCCCGCGCGGCACCGTGGCCAGCACGTACGGGTTGTTGGGGCTCAGCAGCGGCCCCGTCCCGCCCGTCACCCCTGCTGTTGTTGTGGTTGCTGTGTTTGCTGCTGTTGTTGTTGCAGCCGAGGCAGCGAGAGGGGAGCGGAGCGGCGAGAGGTGGCTGCCGCCGCCGCCGCTGCCATTGAACTCGCGCGACGGCGGACGAAGCGGTGAGCGGTACGAGGCGCCACCACTTGGAGTGTTGGCACTACTGCTGCTGGTGCTGCTGTTGTTGTTGTTGTCGTTGTTGCCACCATAGGCGTATGTGCTGTTGGTGGTGGTGAAGTTGGGGCGGAGCGGGCTTGGTGTTGACGATGGTGACGTCAACGCAAGCGCATTCGGTGTCGAACCAACACCACCACCACCACCGCCACCACCACCTGCTGCTGCAGTTGTTGTTGTTGTTGCGGGGGAAGTTGTTGCTGACATGCACAGCGTGCTGTCGCCAAACGGCCTCCGCGTGGTCGAGGCGGAGGGTGCGGTGCCTGGGCGCGGTGTCGCTGCAAACGGCTGCGGCTGGTGCATGGAGGGGCCAGGTGACACGGCCTTGCGGCGTCGCAGGAGCGCGGGCGACCCCATCATCGGTGTCGGCTGGGGCGAGTGTGTGCCAACTGACGCGGGCGAGTAGCATGCCTGGGTGTAACTGCGTGGGCGGTTGCGCAGCGGTGACAGGTGGGCTGTTGCCGGATGGTGCTGGTGATGATGGTGGTGAAAGCGGGCCCTGCCCCGCACAGGCGTACCCATGCGCATGGCTGGGCTGCTGTTGCTGCTGTTCGCAGCGCTGGTGTTGTTGGTGCTCGTGCCACCACTACCTCCACCACCGTGCATGAGGCGACTGCCACTCACGTGAGGACTGTACCGGTGGCCACCACCACCACCACCAGCGTGAGCACCGACGATCATGGGCGAGCCGTGGCGGCTTGGCGTGGAGAAGCGCGCATATGGGCTGTTGGAGGGCGCGGCATCGCTGCATGCGCGCGATCCGGGCAGCAGCGACCGACCACGCTCATCAGCAGCGTTGGACGCCGCGTCCTGCAGGGTCACCGTCTGCATGCGCTCGTTGAGGCCATCTGAGCTGCTGGCGATGGACTCGCGCCGGGACGCGTCGATCATGATGGGGCTGGTCGTCCCAGACTGCTGGTTGGAGCACACGCCCGTGGGCGGGACTGCGGCAAGCACGCGCTCAAAGGCGGGATTGTGCCATGAGCCCGTCTTCTTCAGAGGGGGCGCGGGAGGCAGGTGTGGCTGCTGCTGGGGCTGTTGTTGGTCGTTGTGGTATGGGGTGTTGAGGTTATCGTGCTGGTTTGCAGGTGTGCACGGCGCAGGGGCATCAAAGTACCCTTGCGGCTCGCACTGTTGTTGATGATGCTGTTGGAAGTCGTAGTGGGAGGAGGGTGGTGGTGGCGGCGGCGGTGGTGAGCTGAACAGGTCATCGTCGCCATCGAAGAAGATGCCGCTTTGAAAGCCACCATCATGATCACCACCACACACGTTGTCCATTCGCGGCAGTGCAGACTGCCCCTGGGGATGGGAGAGGTCCATGACTCTCAGGTGCTGACGTGTGTGTGTGAGGGGGGGGGGGAGAGGATGACAGGAAGCAGAGATTGTGGTGGTAAAGGGAGGGGGGGGGGGGGCGGGAAGCATAGATAGGAAGCAGAGATCGTTGCGGTGAGGTAGGTGCACAACGGGAAGCCAACACGGAAAAACAGGCATCAGAACGCTCCATCTCGAAGCTCATCGCATCATATGGCATCCAACAACACTTCACTGCACTGCAGCAAGGCCACCACACCAGGTCTTCAGTCTCACCTCGCTCGCTCGCTCGTTTCAGTCGCTCGCGTGGATCGTTCCTTTCAGTCACTCGCTCAGCCACTCAAGTTGGCCAAGCAATTGAACGCGACGGACGATGTTGATAAGGGCGGTCCTCGCTCGCTCGTTTCAGTCGCTGGCCGACGCTTATCTTATCGCCGCTTGTCGTGCCCCTTTGGATCGTCGACGTCGGGTGTGTCGTGATGTTTGGTCGGTGGTTAGGTGAATTGAATGGTCGCCCAGAAGAAGCAACGAGAGAGAGAGTGTGTGTGTGCGTGTGAGTGTGTGTGTGCGTGTATGTGTGTGTGTGTGTGTGCGTTTGCGCGCGACAGCTGCTGTTGGCCTGCAGTAGGCCTGCGCTATGCGCCATTCCAGGATGGCATTTTGCTTGGGCGGTTATCAAAGGTGGGTGAGGAGAGAGCGCGAGAGTGTGCTTTGTGCTTCGTGTGCTTTGTCGTGTGGCATGTGTGGCGCTCCAACAATTCCAGTGATGGCGGCTGACGAAGCGAAGGTTTTGGCTGTTTGGCTAGAAAATGTATTGAAATTACCAACGAAAATTCTACAATTCAACCCAGCGAAGGCTGGTGGCGAACAGAGCGAAGGCTGGCATGTGTGCGCGTGTGTGATGTTGGGTTCGAATTCTGAACGCGTGTGGGTGACGCTTCTGTTGTGCGTGTGGTCGTGTGTTGAGGTGTATTGCTGTGCGTGTAGGTGTGCGTAGGTGTTGAGGTTGAGCCGCGTCTTGCTGACTTGCCTGGCTGGCTTAATTGCTGAATGACATGCAGGTCAGGTGTTGTTGTTGTTGTGGTGTGGTGTGGAATGCACTTGCGTCAGCGTCTTGACAAACTTGAGCTGGAACCGGTGGCGCCCGCGCTGCAGCACCGCCTGAAATCCGCGCGCAACAGACTCAATCACGTCTTCACGTATGTGTGTGCGTGCGTGAGTCAGTGAGGGAGTGAGTGTGTGAGTGAGTGTGTGAGTGTGTAAGTGTGTGTGTGAGTGTGTAAGTGAGGGAGTGTGTGAGGGAGTGTGTGAGTGTGTAAGTGCATGCGCACGTGTGTGTTTGTAGGTCGTGCAGAGCACAGGTGCAAGCAATCGAATAGCCGTGTCAGCAAGTACTCGTTGAGATGTACAGTGCACCAACAAACCCACGATCACACACACACACACACACACACACACACACACACACACACACATACAACACACACACACACACACACACACACACCGCATACATACATACAAACACACACACGCCAACCAACCTACCTTGGTTGTTGGTTGGCTCGAGGTGGCCTCTGCTGTTAAACTGGACAGGGCGAAGCGTGCACCAGGAAAAGTGCATGTGTTTCCCGCCAACAGAGAGCGGCGGTGCGGCGTGCTGTGGCAGGAGCAGGGTGTGAGGCATTAGGCGTGTGTCGCGCGGGGTGGGGGGGGGGTGAGCTGAGGTGGATGAAAAGGAAAGAAAGAAAGAACGAACGCAGGCTTCTGCAAACGTTCACTAATCCAACGCATGAACAAACACATAAACAGCTGAACGCATGGAACATAGCCGCAAATTCGACACACACGTATACACGCACACAGAACAAACAAACAAACAAACAAACAAACAAACAAACAAACAAACAAACAAACAAACAAACAAACAAACAAACAAACAAACAAACAAACAAACAAACAAGCAAACACACAAACAATCAAACAAACACACAAACAAAGCAAACAAACAAACAAACAAACAAACAAACAACACACATACACGCCACCTGCAGGTGCCGCTGGTCCTGGGGCTTGAGCAGTGTTGGGCGGCGCGGGCGGAGTGGTGAAGCCGAGGATGGCGGTGGCGGTCGACGTGGTGGTGCTGGTCGCTGGGGTCGACGCGCGCTGCTGTTCGTGGTGGGCGCAGTGCCCGACGAAGGTGTTGTGATTGGTGATGCAGGGAGAGGAGGCCGAGGTGGTGTCGAGGTGGTGGCACTGCCTACTGGTTCTGCATTGGATGGCGGTGTCTCTGAACGATGAAGTGGACACATGCAAAGTGTGCGTGCAAGGTGTGCGTGGTGCGTGGGTGAGTGAGCTTGCTCGTGAGTGAGAGCAAGGGAGATTTGAGTTGGGATAGTGGTGGAGCACATGAGAAACACCAATGCCAACAGCAGCAGCAACAGCAACAGCACCGCGCTCACCTGGTTCCGGCACAAACATGGACGTGTCTTCGTCATCACCATCATCATCATCATCGTCATCGTCATTGTCATCGTCACCGTCATTGTCATCATCATGATCATCGCCAGCAGCGTCATTGCCGCGGCGCTGTGTCTGCGTGGAGGCGACTTGCGGTGACAGCGGTACACATGCGCCCAGCAGCAGATCATCATCGCTCGCCAGACGTGAACGACGGGACGCTGGTGACGATGAGGATGTGGGTGGTGGCCGTTGCGAGCTGTCCTGGGTGCTGGAAGTGGTTGCGGTGAAGTCAAAGTCATCCTCGTCATCATCGTCGTGGTTGCCAGCTGTGGAGGCGGCCGTTTCATGTCCTGTTGCTTGTGCTTGCGCATGTTCCTTCTCGCTGCAATCGCTCTCAGCAGTACCACCCTCCTCCTCACGGCGTGACTGTTGCTGGTCTTGTGTCTGCTGTCCCTCCTCCTGTTCCTCCTGCTGCTGTTTCTCCTGCTGCTGTTGTTCTCCTTGTTGCCGTATCCCCTCATCATCATCTTCTTCTTCATCATCACCTTCCTCATCATCATTGTCATCTTCACTGTCATCGTCGTCCGTGTCTGCGAGTCCCAATCGCAGGAGGTCCGAGTACCAGACGCCGAATGATCCGCTCACCAGCCGCGACACAAGATCCTCATCGTCGTTCTGTTCGGAAGAGTTCAACGCAGCCGAGGTATTGCGGTGGTTGTGGTTGGCGTGTGTGTGTGTGTGTGGTGGGGGGGGGGGTTTGGGAATGAAAACACCAAATGCGAGGTTGGGGGGGAAAATTCCGCTGTGTTTGGTGAGTTGTAAATGTACACACACACACACACAAACACAAAACATACGCTTTCGCA